TATATATATATATATATATATATATATATATATATAGTGTTTCCCAACTAATTGGGGTTGGAGTCGACTGCACAAATTCTGGTCCGCTATTCTTCTCTATCAAGGGACATACCCTTAGTGATATTATAAGTCCCTATATCTTTTCTAATTACTTGCAACCATGTCCTTTTGGGCCCATCCCTTGCTCTTTTTTAGCCTTCCACTTGAATTCACACCTAAGTATATTTTCTCTCATCTTATCACCTATTGGTGCTCCTCCTAAATTCAAATGATATATATATATATAGGAAGATACTACAAAACCCCTATAGGCGAAAATGTACAGTGATTTCGCCTGCCCTCGTCACCGTCCAAAGTTCATCGTACGGTCACGACTGTCCAATAGTGTTTCATTTTTCATTTTTTTCTACAAATCGGAATGACCTGAAATTTGGAGCATGTGTTTATCAAAAGTAGGAGAATCTACGAAAAATGTCAAAAAAACATTTTACATGAAAAAATTGACCAAAATACCTCCGAAAATTTTTGGGGGTATTTTGGTCAATTTTTTTTTCTTGAATTATTTTTTTGTACATTTTTATTAGGTTTGCCTCACTAAGATGTACACATGCTCCAAATTTCAGGTCATTCTGATTTGTAAAAAAAATAAAACACTATCGGACAATCTTGACCATACGATGAACTTTGGACGGCGATTAGGGTAAGCGAAATCCCTATTTAGTTTCACTTATAGGCATTGGAAAGATCTTTCCATATATATATATCCCAACTACTTAGGTGGGCTACATAATTGTTTTTCACCATTTTGCTCTATCAAAAGCCAAACCGAAGGTTTGGCCATAAGTTACTATATCTCGTCCCATGACTTCCATCCATGTATTTTGGACCTATCCCTTGGTCTTTTAGAGCCTTCCAGTTGAGCCAAAATCGCCCCTCCTCACTAGTGTTGTTCGAGGTTGACTCTACACATGGCCCACCCACCTAAGTCTATTTTTCCTCATTGTGTCTCTTATTCGAGTCTCCTAAGAGTTGAAATTAAAGTAGAGAATAAAACATTTTGGTATGATCTAGAGAGAAAGAGACGAAACAAAGATCATGATGAAGAAGAAGGGAGAGAGAGAGACATGTGAGAGCTAGAGAGGGAGAGAGAGAGTGGCATAGAGGTTCCTTGTAGCCTCTACCCCTCTTATAATATTAAGTAATAACCCTAGTTATAATTTATGGACAATACTGCCCTTATTTAGAGACATAAGACAAATAAATACTAAACAAAAGATAAATGATAATTCTGCCTATCAAATATAATAAAGCTTATTCTTTTTATTTCCAACACTACCGCTCAAGCTAGTGCATGGATATCAATCATGCCCAGCTTATTTGTGATACTATGTAAGTTGTCCATCCAACGGCTTTAGTAAGGATATCTGCATGTTGATCTTTAGACTTCACATGAGGAGCCTGAATGATCTTGGTAGCAACCTTCTCTCTGAAAAAGTTAGAATCTACTTCAATATGTTTAGTCCTTTCGTGAAAAATAGGATTTTCTACGATATGAATGGCTGCTTCATTGTCACAATATAGAGTCATGAGAAGCGTAACTCTAACACACAAATAAAAAAGAACACATTTGATCCACATTACTTCGCATGTACCATGAGCCATTGCTCTATGTTTTGCTTCAACACTTGATCTTGCCACAGCATTTTGCTTCTTTCTTTTCCAAGTAGCCAGGTTTCCCAAAACAAAAGTACGATAGTCAATTGTGGATCCTCTACCAGTTTGGCAACCAGCCCGATCAGCATCTGTGTAAACTACAACATCAGGATGTCCTTGATTTGAGAAAAATATCCCTTTCCTTGGTGTAGACTTGATATATCTTAAAATTCTATGCACAACATTGAGGTGGGGTTTACGTGGTACATGCATAAATTGACTGACCACGCTAACTGCATAAGAAATGTCTAGTCGAGTGACTATGAAATATATAAGTTGCCCACTATTCGCTTATATTGATTAGGATCTTTGAGTAGCTCACCCATTTCTCCGTGAAGTTTATGATTGACTTCTATAAAAGTATTTACAAATCTAGATCCCAACATCCCCGTTTGTTGTAACAAGTCCAATACATTTTTTCTAAGAGTTGACTATCCCTTTCTTTGATCTCACCATTTCAATTTCCAAAAAATACTTGAGGGGTCTTAAATCTTTGATATCAAATACTTTGCTTAAATAAGATTTAAGATCCTCAATGCCCTTAACATTATCCCCTATCACAACAATATCATCAACACACACATTAAGGGCATAATTCCAATAGAATACTTCTTCACAAAGTGTGTATGATCAGCTTGACTCCTTTTTAACCCAAGCTTCAGCAGCGCCTCACTGAATTTTTTAAACCATGCTCTAAGAGATTGTTTAAGTCCATATATTGCCTTAACTTGTAAACATTTCTTGTCTCCCCCTTAATATGAAAACCAAGAGGCATGGCCATATAGATTTCTTCGTGGATGTCTATTTAAGAATGCATTCTTAAAATCTAGCAAAAGGATTGGCCACGATTTATTCGCAGCTAGTGAAAGAATGATCCTCACAGTGTTCAACTTGGCCACAAGCGCGAAAGTGCCTTGATAGTTTATACTAGGAGTTTGGGTGAAACCTTTTTGCAAGCAAAAGTGTCTTGGTAGTCATCCTTCCCCAAAACTCTCTGATCCTCAATCTTTTTTTATTTGACATGATCGAGATCCTACATTTCCTCTCTTATTTTTGCTAGTTTGAAGACGTCTTTTCCACATTCTCTTGTCCCTAATTTGTTGTATATGTCACCATATGGTTATGCTTAGCCTTGCTTACTATTTTCTTAGAGTTTTTCTTAGTATTTTTGTATTCTTTGAAGTTTTAATCATTTCTATTGTACAGCCAAGCTTTATAACATGATTGTTTTTTTTTAATAATGTTTTGAGCCTCATCACTCCACCACCAAGTTACCTCATCTGAATGTCTTTTCCCTCTAAATTCTTGTAAAACTTCTACAATCACAACACATAATATTAACTTCATCCTCAAAATTCTAGATAAGTTTATTTTCTCCCTTTCTAAATTCCACCACCTAGTTCTTGGACACCTAGGCGATGTGTCTTGGGGCGCAAAGCGCATTATGTCGCCCCATATGTTGTGATGTGGCTGCATTTAAAACAATAACCATGGGCCTATATTTTGTGGTCAAACTCTCTCCTGGGTTACACTCTTTACATTATGGTCTATCTGTCTTCTTAACTAGAAAAAGACTTAAGGCTGAGCCAAGTCAGTAAGTAGTAGTCTAAGACCGATTCCCTTATAGTGTGAACCTATAAGCTGGGTTCAGGTCATAGCAAAAACTAGAATAGCATCACCCATTTCATTTCTTTCCCCAAATCTATATCCTCTATGTATCTTTTCATATCCTCTACTATCCTTTTCTATATGACTATTTAAGTCCCCTCCTAAAAAGTCCTCTCTCCATTTGGTATTCCTTGGATTAGTCCATCTATGTCTTTAAAATTATCTTTTACTTGTATTCTCTAGTCCTACCTGTTGCATATAAACATTAATTACATTAATTATCTCCTCCCCTAACACAAGCTTAATTAATAGGAGCCCATCACCTACTTTCTTAACATCTACTACTTTATTTAAATCTTTGTTTACTATTATGCTTACACGATTTCTATTGCAGAAATGGATTCATGTAGCCAACCCCAAATAATTGTGATAAGGCTCCGATGATGATTTTATATAAAGCCAAGTTGCCTATATCATAGTGTGGCCTATACTGTAGCATAAGCCACTATTAAATTTATATTGTTGACCCTAAATGTTGCACACATGTAGATCTCATCCTGGAGATAAAAATAAAGTAAAGAAATTTCTACACAAAAAAGGCAAAAAAATGTGTGTCCTCTTATCTTTTTAATAGCTAATAGATCTAGGCATTTAAGACTTCAAATTTGATCTTTTTTAAATTATTTATTTTTCAAATCAAATGTGTGAAATTTCCATTCCAAACAAATGGCTCATGCTGTATGTTTGGCCCTTTGCTCATATTGTAGCTACGAGCCAATTAGATTCTATAATGTTTTACCACACACACGCATATATACACATAGACATATGTTTGTGTGATTGTGTGTGTGTGTGTGTGCGTGTGTGTGTGTGTGTGTGTGTGTGTGTATATATATCGTCCTTTCCCGTTTGGTTTGGGTTTATGGTCG